GTTTTGTTTTTTTTTTTTTTTTGACTTGGTTTCTCTTTTTCAATATTTAAATCCTACTCTAAATTTTAAAAGAAAACTAATGGAAGGTTCAACTGATATTCTTAAATTACTTCTTTTACGTTAAATTTATCTTTTCGTACGTAGTCCCTATGACATAACTTCAAAAATAGATTGACGTAGAGAAAAATGGAAAACTGTGACAGGCTTTAACTTTCTTTATTGTAAATTAATTTTATTAATTAATATTAATGAAACTGGAGAACTACCAGCGAGAATAAACGCAAAAGACTACTACTTGTTTTTCTTTTTTCCAATTGAAGAAGCGTTTGTTGTCACCAAAATACTTTTTAAAATTTTAAAATTTAAACAGGTATTTTTTGGAAATGAGAGATTGTAGTATTTTTTGGTGATGCGAAAATAATTTTTGTAAAACAAAAATATTTTTCTGTATTTGGTTGGTGAGTGAAACTATTTTCAAAAAAGGTATATTAGAAATTAATAACAACATAAATAAATCAAAGAGTATTTTAATGAAACTTAATAAAAATAATAATAATGTCTAATTGTTAGCTGGAACAAGTACAAGTGAGGGGAAGTCATTTTTTTCTTTTGATTGACGAAAATGTTTTCCGATACAAAAACATGTTCCGGTAACCAAATACAAATAATGACTTCTTTATCTAAAACATCTTCCTAAAATAACTTAACTTTCGTCCTATCAAATATGTTTGTTGAAATTAAAAAGGTAGAATATGAGGACAGAGTTTAAATCATGAGAAAAATGAACCAACCAGAAGAATCAAAGCAACTTGTTCAAAGGGTTGCCTCACCTTTCATGATGAAACGACAAGATAGTATCACCATTTTGACTAATAAGGTCCTCCGATCATATGCGGATCCAAAATTTCAATAAGATGGGTACACTTCTCCTAAGAAATAGAATCCAGAATTTATAGTTGACTAGTTATCAGTTCACATTTAGCTCGAATTCGTTGACTTGCAATCTAGCCCAAGTATGTCAGGTTCCCTATCTGGTCCTTGACAGTAAATTTGTTAGATCATCAAAACATAAGGCAAAGACATTGAAAATCCATCACTCATTCCTCCAATTTCAAATTAGGTTTGTTGAGTTAACTTCACAATATTCGTCCACGTCCAATACTAAATGCAGCGGTTGAACGACCGCATCGAAATTATTTCCTTTCATTTCTGTGGACGAACCAAATTGGTCAATGCGCCTGCCTTCATGTTTTCTTCTCTCGGAATATGTATAATTGACCAATCCCTGAATCGGGAAAATAATACTTGAACCTTATTCAATTATTGTATCATATGCTCCTCCTTGGTGTCGAAAATTTCATACACCTAGTTCACTACCATCTGGGAGTCGCACTTTATTTCTATTGCCCCGGAGCCTAGTCCCAGGGCTAGTTCAAGTCCTGCAACCAAACCCTCATACTTGACTTCATTATTAGTGAATGGCACATTTCTAATGGTTTGTCTTAGGGTTTCTCCCGAAGGAGTGATTAAAAATATCCCGAGATCGAACCCTTTTATTTTGGAAGCTCCATCCGTAAACAAGGTCTAAACACCTGATACCATCCCTGATACCAACATTGCTTCTTTAGAAGCTAAAAGAATTAATCATGGACTAAAGTCAGCCACGAAATCGGTTAAAACTTGTGACTTAATCGCAGTCATGGTCTTATATTCAATGTCGAATTCACCAACTTTGACTGCCCATTTGGCCAAACAACTCGATAATTCAGTATTATGAAGGACATTCCTCAAGAGAAAAGTTGTCACAACGGCTATAGGATGACATTGAAAATATGGCCTAAGCTTTCGAGAGGCGACTACGAGAGCTAGGGCCAATTTTTCAAGGTGCGGATAATGTGTCTCCACTCTCGATAAAACTTTACTAAAATAATAAACAGGAAATAGTGTACCTTCCTACTCTTGGACCAGAACAACACTTACCGCTATTTCTAAAACCGCCAAATAGATCAATAATTATTCTCCTTCCTTCATTTTGAAAACAAAAGAGGGATAGACAGGTACCTTTTCAGTTTATTCAATGTTTGTTGGCATTTTGGAGTCCACACAAAATCATTCTTCTTTTTCAAAAGTTAAAAGAAATGATGGCATTTCACCGAAGACCTTGAGATAAACCTGCTTAGGCCTGCCAGCCTGCCAGTCAACCTCTGTACTTTCTTCACACTTGTCAATTAATCCGGGATATCCTCGATGGCTTTTATTTTATCATGGTTTATTTCGATTCCTCTTTCAGAGATCAAAAACCCTAGGAACTTACCGAAAGCAACTCCGAAGGCACATTTCCCCGAGAGTAGCATCAATCATTTGATCAATATTTTGCAATGGGAAAGAGTCCTTAGGGCATGCCTTATTCAAATCTTTGTAATATACATGCATTCTAAGTTTATTATTCTTTCTAGGTACTACTACTACTTTAGCTAGTCAATCGGGGTAATTTAACTATCGAATTGAACCTATATTTAGTAACCAGGTTACCTCTTCCTTGACAAACATGTTTCTGACCTCTTATATCGATCGTTTCTTCTTCTTTACTGGAGGAAAACTAGGATTCAAACTCAGCTTGTGGAAAACCATATCCAATGGAATATCTGTCATATTTGAATGCGACCATGAAAAGCAATCGACATTAGCTTTTAGAAAATTAATAATTTTTAACCTTAGTACGTGACTCAACCCCGTTCGTAAATGGAATTTTCTTTCTAAGAACTCTGTGAACAAGGCCACTTGTTCGAGCTCTTCAACATTTGATTTGGTCTCATCTGTTTCCTTCGGTACCTAGAAATACCCCGGTACCTGGTAAAATTTTGATGAATCCTCTTCATCCTTATGTTCAATCGGGGTAGAAGAAGGCACCGACTCCTATAATTGTTATTTGTTTGTTTCTTTGCCCTTGTTACTGGATAAGTTAATTGCGTTCATCTCTCTCACAGCTTGTTGATCTCCTCTGATCTTTTTGACCCCTTCTGGTGTGGGAAATTTCAATAGATGATGATATGTTGACAGCACATCCTTCATTTCATGTATCCAAGTCCTCCCAAAAATCATGTTGTATCCCATGTCATCGTCTACCACTTTGAACAGAGTGTTTTTCATTACGCCTTCGGCATGAGTGGGCATAAACATCTCTCCTTGGGTTGTAATACTCGTTAAGTTGAACCCAACTAAAAGCTTTGTTGTTGGAAATATGTTTCCGATTAACTTCGCTTGCTCCAAAACTCTCCTTTGTATGATGTTAGCTGAACTTCTTGGATCAACCAACGCACGTTTAATTTTCAAAACTAAAACATTAAGAGAAATTACTATATGTCCATCAACATCCTCTTTGGTAAAGGTGATGTCATCTTTTGAAACTTCTCGTATCCTTTTGCCATGAGTTACCAATATCTACGTCTTCTTTGCTGCTAAAAATGTTACCCCATTTACTTCGTCTACACCAAAGATCATGTTTATTGTCATACTTAGGTGACCTGGAAGTCGGTTTTGATGGTTCTGCAACATCCCGATTTCCCCATAGTTATTCTTGGCTTGATCTCTTAAACATTCTCGGGGTGACCGTTCTTCAACAATGTTGCCATCTCTTTACAAAGGTGCCGACAGTCCCTAATCTTGTGATCATATAGTCCATGGAATCACACCATAGATTAGGATCCCTTTGGCTAGTATTCGATTGAATTGGTTTTGGGAACCTATCCTCCTTTATGTTCCTCATAACCGACACCAATTCTACCAAGATGATGTTAAAGTTGTAGTCAGATAAACGGGGATACGTTGAATCTTGTGACCCCTATGCTTCTTTCTCCTATAAAGTTCTACTACTCCGACCACGATCCATTCTTCTATCGGAAGTAAACCTATTTGATGTCTGAAAACCTTTACTTCCTCGCCCATCGGCCCTCTTGTAAGGCTAAAATTGACCTCTGGAAGATCTCCAATATGTATCAACATCAGTTGTAACCTTTCCAAATTTCGATCACGATTACGCCATTTGGACGACATTGAGGAACTCGGTTGATCGCCTTTTATTCTAATCTTTGACTCGTAATGATTGTGGACATTTACCCAAGTGGTTGTGTGAAATTCTAACAAGCTTTCCTTCATTCATGGAATCATCTAAGCTCAATATGTTGAGACCCTTTGTGAAAGCTTCCGCTTCCCACTCATCTGGTACTACCGGCAACAACATATTTTCCTTCTGAACTCAGATTACGAACTCTTGTAATAGTTTAGAATTTCCTTAGGCTATTCTGAATATATCTACTTTCCTTGCTTGGACCTTTCTTGCTCCAACATGAGATTTAATAAAAGAATCTGCAAGTATTTCAAAAAAATCAATGGAATGCTCGGGTAAAAGAGAATACCAAGTAAATTTACCCTTCGTCAGGGTTTCACCAAATTTCTTCAAAAAGACTGATTCGATCTCGTGTTGGGCCAAGTCATTTCCCTTTACAGTCATAGTGTAGGTCGTGATATGTTCCTTTGGATTAAAAGTCCTATCATACTTCGAAATATCCGGCATCTTAAACCTTTTCAAAATAAACTCTAAGTCCGCACTTGGTTTAAACGGCAACTGCGTATACTTCTTGGAATCCGGTCCCTTTAACACCGACGGCGCTCCTAAGATATGGTCCATCCGAGCATGGAATTCTTTGCATTTTTGTCCATTCGTTCATTTATTTCCTTTATGAATCTCATGAGCTCGGTTTTGAAAGGGTCCTTAGCATTGTTGTCGTTCCCATATCCGTACCTCATGTCTCGTTAAAACCTAACTCCTCCCTTGGAGCATTGTTACCGGTTCTTTGAACTGTTTGATTTGCAGGGACGCTGGAAGGAACTCAAACCCCTCCATCAGAATTATTGGAAGCAACCGAAAATGCCTGTTTCAATTCTATCATCATCTGATCTTACCTTGAGAGGTGTTTCATAATTTCCCTTTGTTTCTCTCCCAAGATTTTGACCGTTTCCACAACGTGTTCGTCACCCGCATCATAAGTAATTGGGCTCCTCACATGCTGAGGATTTGGTCCTTCACGAATTGGAATTGTTTCATCTCCTTCATTGTGGGTTTCTCTAGTTGAATCATCACATTTCTCACGTTCGTTGTGTGCTCCATTATTATAGGAATTGTTCCCATCATTAGCTTCCATATTTGATTTTTTCTTTTGCTAAGAAAGGAATCAAAATTTGTTAGTAGTAGATAAATGCATCAAAGCAATTACACAATTGTCTATGGCCTACGGTGGGCGCCAAAATATTTACTCGTAAAACGATATAGTTAAATTTGTAAAGTGGTTTATAGATATGTGTATTATCTTGATCCAAAAATATGAAATAAATAAGAATAAAATTAAGACTATAAGAATAACTTAGAAAGAAATACAAGTACTGATTGTACGATAAGCTTCTCCGGAAGCAATAATATGAACAATATTAAGAACAAAAATAAGCGAGAAATTTTATAGTATGAGAGAAAATTATTGCCTTTGATTACAGAAGATAAATGGATACTAATTTTCTGTCACAACCCAAAACTCGACCTGTCGTGATGGCGTCTATCATGGTACTAGGCAAGCCGACATCTCACTCATACCAACATTTTTAAAACCCAAATATACGGAAATAGATTTAAATAATTAAGAATCTCGTAAAAACTGGATATAAACATCGAAACGCAGTACAAAATTCGCCCAAAAGATCTGGGTGTCACGGAGTACATGAGCATCTACATATCAACATAGTCTGACCAATGGAACACTGCCTAGGAATGTAGAATGGCATAAATAATACTAAAAGATAAAAGAGAAGAGTCAAGGTCTATGGATGCCAAGGAAGTGATCTCGATGATCTCTGAACTGATGAAATGTCAGGAATCAGCAACCGACGTGCCCCGAAATGCCTGGATCTACACATGAGGTGTAGGGTGTAGTGTGAGTACAATCAACGCAATAAGTATCGCAAATAAATGATTCAAGGTAAGAGAAGCTTAATTTGTTGAGGTCACTAGTTAAATCAGTGCAATTATGTCCTTTTTGATTAACCTAGTATAAAATTTAAAGCTAGCTCATAAGGCTTTGTGATACGAATATTCGTGTATGCATATGCACTGGTTCTCAAATACCCTGCTCAACAGTATCATAGAATGTAGAGGAAATAAACACGTAAATCATATAAATAATCAAGAAATACGAGTTTCACACACTGCACGGACAACTCACGTGCTGTACAAACAACTCACGTGCTAACAATAGAACCTGTACGGATAACTTACGTGCTACATGGATAACTCACGCATCAATAATATCAATAGATGGATCTGCACGGACAAATCATGTGCTGCACGGACAACTCACGTGCCAATAATATCAATACATGGATCCGCACGGATAACTCACGTGCCAATAACATAATCCGCCAGGCATAATCATAGGACCCAATCCAAAATATCATACAGAAGCAATAAAGCAAGTATACAGGTATATAATGGATGAAATACGATTCTCTTGTCCCTGGACTGGTGAAAATAATATGCTAAAGTGTACACATGTTCAAAGTGTGCAATCGTAGCTAAATCCGGCCATTTCATCAATGAAAAGCATTAATCAAGTTTGTTCAGAGATTAAACCTCTAAGTAGACTCATCCTGGCTCAATTAGATCACATAAATTGTTGCCACATGTTAGATATTGAAGCTTGAAGCTTAACGGTCATTTTTGGGCTTATAGGAGCCAGAGCACAACCCGAACATGAATATACAATCCTGGTGCTCGCACATGGTATCATCCCCACGCATGTGCATACCCAAAAGCACGTGGCTATCACAACAATTCAGGCAACTAGTGCCTCAACCGATTTTAAATATGATACTTACCTCAAGCAACTTGAATCACTCCGCTAGCAAGCTCTTGCCTCTCGAATCAGCTTCCGAACACCTCGAATTTAGCAATAAACAATTTGATACAATCAATACAAGCTAAAGGAATCAATTCCATAAGAAAATACTAAGTTCTTAATCAAAAGTCAAAAAGTCAACTCAAAAGTCGGCCCCCTGTCCTACATCCCAGAATCCAAGAAGCGTGAAAAAAATCCAGAAGCTCATTCAACCACGAGTCTACCATACCAAATTTACCAAAATCCAACACCAAATCGACACCCAAATCCTCAATTTAAACTTTCCAAAGCCCTAGCTGCAAACTCCCAAATTTACACTCAAAACCACATAATCTAGGTGGGAAATTCAACGGGGAAACATATTATTGAATAAATTTAACCACAAGTGGATTACCTAAAGAATCCCTTCGAAATTCCTCTCAAAAATCGCCCAATCCCGAGCTTGAAATGTCCAAAATGATGAAAATCATGGAACCCTCGACTTTAATATACTGCACAGGCCTTCTCGCACCTGCGACAACTTACCTGCTTCTACGGTGTTGCAAAAGCGACAATTCTTCCACGTCTGCAATAAGCCACTAGAAACCAGCTTTCGCACATGCGGATCATGCTCTGCTTCTGCGCAAACGCAGGTGCGACCATCTTTCCCGCTCCTACGCTGACCACCTCGCTTATGTGCTCAACCTCATCGCATCTACGACCACACAGGTGCGGACAATCCTTCGCACCTGCGACATCAACATTCCTCACTCCTGGCCCCATCTGCGCTTCCCAACTCGTACCTGCGAGTTAGGACCTGCGATCAAATCTTTGCAGGTGCGATTGCACCAGAAGACTCTCAGTGTCGGCAACTCTTTAACTCCAAACCTTGATCTGTTAACCATCTGAATTCCACCCGAGGCCCCCGGGACCTCAACCAAATATACCAGTAAGTCCTAAAATATGATATGAACTTAGTCGAGCCTTTAAATCATATCAAACAACGCTAAATCTGTAAATCACACATCGATTCAAGCCTAATGAACTTTTGAACTTCTAACTTCTACATTCGATGCTGAAACCTATCAAATCATGTCTGATTGACCTCAAATTTTGCGCACTCCCAGAACCCCAATCCGAGCCCGGTGACCACAAAGTCCACTCTTAGTCAAACTTCTAAATTTCTAACTTATGCCATTTCAAGCTTAATTTAACTACAGACCTCCAAATCACTATCCGGACACGCTCCTAAGTCCAAAATCACCCAACGGAGCTAATGGAACCATCAAAACTACATTCCAGAGTCGTTTACACATAAGTCAACATCCGGTTAACCTTTTCAACTTAAGATTCCAACGTTTAGACTAAATGTCTCAACTCATTTCGAAACCTCTCCGGACCTGAACCAACTATCCCAGAAAGTCACATAGCAGCTATAAAGCATAAAATGAGCAGTAAATGGGGGAACAATGCTACAACTCTCAAAAAAACCGGTAGGGTCGTTACATCCTCCCCCTCTTAAACAAACATTCATTCTCGAACGGGTCTGGAAATGTACATGGAGTGTCAAATAAGCTTGGATATCTGCTCCGCATCTCCCGCTCGGTCTCCCAAGCAGTCTCCTCAACTGGCTAACCTCTCCACTGCACCTTCACTGAAGCTATATCCTTTGACCTTAACTTTCTAGCCTGCTGACCCAAAATGGCCACTAGCTCCATATCATAAGTCAAATCACCATCACAATGAACTATGCTGAAATCCTAAACATAAGAGGGATCACTGACATACTTCTGGAGCGTAGAAACATAAAATATTGGATGCACACTCGACAGACTAGGTGGTAAGGCAAGCTTGTAAGCCACCTCTCCAATCCTCTGAAGCACCTCAAACGGCCCAATATACCGAGGCTCAATTTGCCCTTTTTTCGAACCTCATAACACCTTTCATGGATGAAACCTTGAGCAAAACCTTCTCCTCAACCATGTAAGCGACATGACGAACCTTCCTATTGGCGTAACTCTTCTATCTAGAAGCCGATCCTGAATCAATTTAACCTTGTCCAAAGCATCCTGAACCAAGTCAGTACCCAATAGCCTAGCCTCCACCAGCTCAAACTAACCCACCAAAGATCGACATCGTCTCGCATACAAAGCCTCATACGAAGCCATCTGAATGATCAATTGGTAACTATTGTTGTAGGCAAACTCCGTGAGTGGCAGAAACTGATCCCAAGAACCCCCGAAATCTATGGCACAAGCGCATAGCATATCCTTTAATATCTAAATAGTTCACTCGGACTGTCCGTCCGTCTGAGGGTGAAATGTTGTACTCAACTCAACTTGGGTGCCCAACTCTCGCTGCACGGCTCTCCAAAACTGCAATGTAAACTGTGTGCCCCGATCTGAAATGATAGACACTGGCACACCGTAAAGGCGAACAATCTCGCGAATGTAAATATTAGCCAATTACTTTGAAGAATAGGTAGTCCCAACTGGAATGAAGTGTGTGGACTTTGTCAGCTGATCCACAATCACCCAAATAGCATCAAGCTTCCTCGAAGTCTGTGGGAGCTCAACTACAAAATCCAAGGTGATACGCTCCCATTTCCACTTCGGAATCTCAAGCCTCTAAAGCAATCTGCCCGGTCTCTGAT